GCATAAATTTCCACACAGATTTTCTCTTCTTCCACAGAAAATTCTTTCGCACTTGCCTTTTTCACTATTCTCTCAAAACTCTGCCTATACTCCACTGCCTCACACATCCAAAATTGCTGGCACTATCTCAATTGTTCGTTTTTCACGTATTAGTTTAAACATTTTCCCATTTCGTTCAAGTACTCACTTTTTACGTCTGAGAAACATTCACTCTCCCGTCAAACACTCTTCACATGCTACTTCACTCGACCCGTCTTAAGCCTTTAGGACCGAAAAACGTAAATCTGTACACGTGTCATAGGAGATTAAATCAGTCAGAGTTTCCTGCCGAAACTAAACATTTATTCAGGTTTTTGGTCCGTAAGCGAATGCCCCAAAACGCATCCCCCGCAGTCTTATAGGGGCGTATCCCCTCTTCGGGGCCTCGTCTTTAAGTGCAGGAAGCCTCTTCGGTCGAACTCCGATCCTAACGCCTGAGCCTAGCGTTTAAACTTGCCCATCTGTCCATTGACCTTGCACTTCGGTGATATCTTCCTAGAAACCCAACAAAGAGCTTTCTTTTTCTGTTTTGATCAGTATTTACCGTTCGTCGATCTTCTGCTTCATTTTATGGAGTTTTGGGCATCCCTTGTAGAAGGCAGGGTGGCCAAAGCGTTTGCAATAGACACAAAATGGTTTATCGACTTTGCGTCTATCCCAAACATTCTTTTGGATTGTATTGGAGATTACATTTCACGCATCTGTATTCTAAATTACAGTGCTAGCCTGAAATAAGGCTGCTTCATCTATTCTTTCCTCTGTCTTTAGTGCACACTTATCGCTTCCCATCTATTCTTCGAATGCCAGGACTTATTTTTCCTTTTTTTTCTCTTCTTTTGGAAGGAAGTATTCGATGTAAAAGAGAAAATAATTACGGAAAAGAAAAAATTCTCTATTGAGAGTTTTGCCGTTTATATATTCTTTTTTTTTGTCACTGGTGGAAAGCACTCCGTTGCACTATTACACTGGGTACATCTGGTGTTTGTCCTTTGCTTCATTTAGTTGTTGGGACACTTCTTACCTCTACGAAGCTTCGAACAAGACTGCCGGATACTAACCACTATACTAACGAGGATTTGAGGACTTACCATTTTTATTATCTTTTTATAGTAATATGAATTAATTTTGCTTTTCAATTTTTTATAATTAATTCGATATAGTTATATTATTAATTAATATTAAATAATACCTATTCCCTTATTAATTTATGTAATTTATGTAGATTTATATAGTTTTATCATCAGCTTTTCTTATAATATTATATATGTGGGGATGTTTCCTTTGTGATATATCGTTGGAAAACTTATAAATAGGAGAATATAATAGGACAGGTGACGTAGGAATCGCAATTGTTTTGTTTCAAAAATATAAGTAAAATAGTTAACGTACAGTTAGACAATATATGTATTTTGTACGTATATATGAAGATCTACGTTATTCAACCCTTATTGCTGTCATGCGATCGGCTATTCGACGACGTTTATTTACATCTATATTACTGCACAAAGATTGATTGTATTAATCATCTGTAAGCTAAAACCGGTCTCTCCATTGACAAATAATTTTATATATACATTTCTGAAATGAGACACTTGTGACTCTTACGATCTTCGTTATTATACTAACTATTATATTAAGAAATGTTGGTACTCGATACTTAATTTTTCACAATTGTAAAATGATTCATAATCTAATTCAAATAATCTATAACTTTATTTTAAATTTAAATTTATATAATTGTACTTTAGAATATAAAATAATTACATTTTTTTTTTTTTTAGATATGGGTACAATTACTAGTTACAATAGAACACCGCAATTATCAAATATTTCATCTATTTTAATTTATGCACAATGTCAAAATATTTTATCAGACAAAAAATTACGGATGAATTTAAATCCTATATCCATCAAGTTAGAGCAACTATCTAATTTTCCAGTTGATATAATAATTGAAAAAGGTTTCAAGTATATATACATGAAGATTTTCTTCGTAAATCGCATAACTGTTACACCATACTATGTTCCTAATAGAATTATGTATTTCGAATTTGTTAAGTGTTTTCTCTCTGAAGAATTTCAATTGCCAGAGTTAATTAATTTTCTTGCAACGGACCTTCTTACCGTTGAGGTAATTTAAATGTTGCATAAACAATAAATTAAATAATTTGAAAATATGTGCATTTTTATAATTAGGTAATTGGTGTACGAAATATCAATGTTATTGAGTTCTCAACTTCCACTTCTGGTCAACCTGATTTTGACAAATCAAAATCATCAAAAATACATGGAAAGGAAGAAGTTTTATTAGGAGTTGCTGAATTTGATATTTCTGATCTCTTGAAAGGATTTTGGGAAGTACAGCTGACAAGTAGCTTAATTCATCCTCGCAATATGTCCCACGATATTAGTTACATAAATGACGAGAGCGTAAAAGTTTCGTGGAAAAATTCACCTCTCAATGCAGATATTCTTATGTTATATGGTACATCAGTGAAAATTAAAGTTCGCCCGGCGAATGATCTGCGAATGTTTCAAAGGACAATTCTTCGCCATGAAAATATATTGAATCGAATTTTTTTCAATTTAAGCGATTTAAAATTGGCTAATGATATCTTGAGAGATGTATCCTCCCATAATTCCAATTTATTGAGCACTTCTCAATCTTCTAACGAAAGCGGTGATTTAAAAGTAATATTTCGAAATGTCTAATGACGTAAATAATAATGTATCGAGCAACAAATATTGAGCTCATGTTGACCAGAATAACAATTCTTATGTATTTATTTTATTTTACTTGCATTTTATATCAAACCTAAAACTAGGTAAATGATATTTATCTCAGTATCAAAACAAAACAAATTTATAAAATATATGATATTATTTATTTGAAGTGAACTATAAAACATATAAGCAAAACTCACTGAAACTCTGTATTTAGATAATAATTGCACATATTTTAATTTCAAATTATTTTTCATATATTCTGTTGTTATTGATAACATTCAATATTTATATTCGAAATTATTTTCAAATGTTGTTTATGATGCAGGCACAGAGTATATTGAAACATGTTTTAACGGGATTCGTTATTGAAGATTATGAAAAAATCTACATTTTCCTAGAAGGTTTATCGAATGGATATTTATTAAAAATTTGGGAAAAAGTGAAAAAACTTCCTATTGCACACAAGTGTATTTATTACAACAGCAGTTATGTATTTTTTACACGACTTTATGAAGACTTTATAGCTTTAGGTGGAATTGTCCATATTAAGTTGAGGTAAACAAAAAATAATCAAAATAGATTAGTATATAAAATTATTTACGACAGTTTATCCTTTTCTTATAAAAATTAAATGCTACTTAAAGTCTTATATCACTTTATATTATTTTTTCGTTTAGTTTTTAGACAGATTCGGTACATATTAAATGTTTATTTTTGTTTAAAGCGGATGCTTGGAAACACAACTTCGTAAATGTAGTTTATATATTGATAAAACAAAAGTAACACATCAGTCGAATGTTATAAGAAAACTAGGATTGATGAATTTAACATTAACGATGAAGTCTTTATGTCAAACTCGTTTATTTCCAAAATTGAATGATGTACAAGGTTTTATTGATGATATTCGCAAAATATAGTTTAAAAATATGGAATAGATTATTAATTATATAAATTATACAAAAAGAAATCAAAATTTTCTTATAAATTATATTCTTGCCGTAACAAGAGGATGACACAAATATCTGAGAAGAAAAAAATTTAAATAGATGTGATATTATAGACTGATCGAAGAGTATAAAATATTACTTGAAAGTAATTTTGATTATAGTTTATACGTGATTTATTTACGTATATATGTAAATAAAAACATTTAATAACACACTACTAGTTATAAATTATCAATAGTAGTTAACATAATAAATTGTAAAAATTTGTCAAATTAGATTTCAAACATAATAATTACATATATCAATATTATGTGATTCCAATATGAATTGCATCAGATATTCCCTATTGATTGTGTTTGAAATGTATAACACTTGGAGGTCAGATTCTACAGGTGTTGTATTAAATTGATTGTATTGAGTTAACTTTTATTTATATTATTTAAATTATTTATTTCATTTAGTAAATCTAAACTTAATAGTATACAAGACGTGCAAATCAACCCTTAAGGTATCCTAACGCACGTGTTTTCTTTCAATATATAACCTATTTGGTTTACGGATTTTAAAATAAAATTTCGTAAATAACAGAGAAAGTTATTGATATACTTCAATCTTCAGGTATGATAAACAATTAACATTATATTATATTGAAATTTATCGTATGCTTTTATAAGTAATATAATTAATAAGTATTTTCTTTTTTAGATGATACATATCCAAAAAAGGAATTCAGAAAATTAATGTATAAAGTTAATAAAACGTTTAGATTCAATAGTGTACATTGATTTGTTGTTTTGCTTACATCAAAAAGGAAAGTCCCAGTATTATTATTTAATTTAAAAAATTTAATTTCAGTAGAGGTATATTAATTTTTATTAATAAAATTAAAAATAACAATTTTATAAATTAAAAAGTACTATTTTGTTAAAATTAATTTATGCCCTTAGCAATTTTATATATATACAGATTATTTATTTACGATATAAGTGTCCAAAATTAAATGTCATCAAAAATGTAAAAGGATTGAAGTATGTTTTATATAAATATTGAATTGTTTAATTCATATGTATGTTGATATAATGACATAAAGATATGTTATATGTATAATATCATAATAAATTTTTTTTAGCAATTTTGTAAAGCTCATATAACAAAATATTTCTGATATAGAAAGAAATGAAGATATATTAATGCATACATATATTGTGTGTATGTGTTTACATATATCTCTCACATATATCTCAATGTATATTTTTTTCATTACTTTATTCCATATACATAGATAAAATGGTTTCGCAAATATTTGATGAACTCCAAAAAGAAATGTCCTTAATTAATACCGATGATGAATCTCAAAATTATAAACAAACTAATAAACAAGTTAGTGGTACTGATAAAGTACAAATGAAAAAACAACTTGGCCTATTAGAAGGAGTTGCAATTATTTTAGGAATTATATGTGGTTCAGGTAAGGATGTTTTTAATTTAGATCATATTACAATATTAACATTTTTGAATTTAGGAAAAATTATTTTTGTCTATTACCTAAATATCTAATCATTTTTTAAAATAAATTTCATTCATCTTTCTCTAATTTTATAAACATAATTATACAATGTAACAATGAATTACTAATATAATTAATAAGAATTAAATAAGATATGTTTCATAAATATATTACATTTTGATCATTGTATGAACTATATAATTATTTATTTTGCTTCAGGTATTTTCATTTCACCAAAGGGTGTAATCACAGAGGTAGGGAGTGTCGGAGTATCTTTAATTGTTTGGATTTTATGTGGTTTACTTTCTATGGTGGGAGCATTATGTTATGCTGAATTGGGTACTTGCATACCTAGAAGTGGTGGAGATTATGCCTATATCTATGAGGCTTTTGGTGATTTACCTGCTTTCTTGTACTTATGGGCTGCTAACTTAATTTTTGTGTAAGTTATTTTTATGAAATTTTGTCACTATTATTTAAGAAGTAATTAAAGCATTGTACAGTAAAACTAATGTTATTCCCCCATTTTTAGACCAACTACAAATGCTATTATGGGATTAACTTTTGCTCAGTATGTTTTACAACCATTTTTCCCTAATTGCTCTATTCCAGATAATGGTGTACGTCTCTTAGCAGCAGTTACTATCTGTAAGTTATTTTTCTTGCATATAAGATAAGCTATGTTTATACTTTATGTTATTTCCGTAAATTAAAATTTTATTTTTTTTAGACTATAATTTTTTTTTTAATTTTTAATTTCAACTTTATTTAGTTACTTATAATTCTTTTATTGTTATTTTTGCATATAAAATACTTATATTCAACAATATAATTATTTTGTCATTTTTGTAATTTCAATCTGTTGCTAGGTTTACTTACATTTGCAAATTGCTATGATGTCAAAGAAACATCTAAAATGCAAAATATATTCATGTTTGCAAAAATTGGTGCATTAGTAATTATAATTATTACTGGTTTGGTTTGGGTTATGTTAGGTAAGTATAATTTTAATATATATGTTTTTAAATTTGTAAACGAACTGAAACAGAAAAGAAAAAAATGTGAATTTTTTTTATTGTTATTTTCATTATTGATTCAACTTTAAATTTGCTTTGTTTAGAAAATTTTATATTTTAAAATATTTTTTCATATTAATAATTTATTTTAGGTCATACTGAAAATTTTGAGAATGTTTTTGAAAATACAATTTCGGACCCTGGAAAAATTGCAGTGGCCTTTTATTCTGGTATATTTTCATATTCTGGGTGGAATTACTTAAATTTTATGACAGAGGAATTAAAAGATCCCTATGTGTATGTAATATAAAATAACATACAATTTTGTTTTACTTCCTTGACTTTAAGTAAATATTTTAATTTTATAGAAATTTACCACGAGCTATATATATATCGTTGCCATTAGTTACTCTTATCTATGTATTGGCAAATGTTGCTTATTTATCAGTTTTAACGCCAACTGCGATGATTGCTTCTCATGCAATTGCTGTGGTCAGTACTATTTTTTATACACTGATTTTATTTAAGATATGTTATATAAATATATTCGTATTTTAATAATATATGTTTACCGAAACATTTAAAAAATTTATTGAAATAAATTCTGTGTAGACCTTTGGGGATCAACTTCTTGGTGTCATGGCATGGACAATACCTGTTATGGTAGCTGTATCTGCATTTGGAGGATTAAGTGTTCATATTATGACATCATCTAGAATGTGTTTTGTTGGTGCCAGAAATGGACATTTTCCTTCAATATTAAGTCACATTAATATTTCAAGATTTACACCCACACCTGCCTTAATGTTTCTTGTATGTATATATACTTTTTTCTTTTATACTTTGAAATATATATTTTATTACATGATAATTTCTGGACTTTCTTGATAAAATAAATATTTCTTGTTTTATTTCTAGTGTATATTATCTTTAATAATGCTATGTACAAGTGACATTTTTGTACTAATCACATATTGCAGTATAGTCGAATCATTCTTTATAATGTTATCAGTAGCTGGTGTTCTATGGCTTCGTTATAAACAACCCAATATGAATAGACCAATCAAAGTAAGTAATTCGCCAAATATTACTGTAAGCAGGAAATTTTCTTATTAAAAATATAAATATATTTTACAGATGCCTTTATGGATACCTATTACATTTGTGGCCATATGTGCATTTTTAGTATTTGTTCCATGCTACGAAAGACCATATGAAGTTGGAATAGGCGCCTTAATAACTTTATCTGGAATTCCAGCTTATTTTCTCGGTGTCAAATGGAAAAATAAGCCATTGTGGTTTCAACAATTTAATCGTATGTAATATCAATATATTACTTTTATTATGTTATAGACATTTCAGGCACACATTTTATTATTATTTCCTACATTACTTTCATTTCAATAATTTTATATCTTTTATATTTCCAGTTAAAATTACTTATGTCATACAAAAATTATGCATGTCTGCCACTGAAGAACGAGATTATTGATTTAAATAATATAAATATAAAAACAATTTCAATCGCGTAAAATTTTGGCATTTGGCATATATATATGACAATTTGTATATTTCTAATGCCACATGACTGTGTTCTTAGTAAACAAGAGTTTACAATATATACATATGTAAGATAAACAAAGTTGTTCTCTAGGTTGTAAGATTAACGATTTATAGTTACCAACTATTATTTATTTTGAGAAAATCTTAATTTTTCTAATTACATTATATATAAAGTAATAATTTCTGCTTTTTGGATTACAAAAATTTAGGAAGGAAAAATTTGTCATTAAAAGTATTAATGTATTTCTTACTCCCTATTTACTATGTTAAAAAATAAAATAAAGTATACATCTGACTAAATTATAAAATTTGCATAATTTTATAAAAGGTATTAAATATACTTAATATTTTATAATTGTAAAGCAGAGGTATATGTCCAAATTTTATTCAAATATTTTATATAAACTAATAATAATAAAGAATTTTAGAAAGTTTGATTAAAATTTTGTTGCAATAAAATAATTTTTAAATAAATTATATAAATGCAATTTTTAATCATAGTTTGTAATAGAAATCAGATAAAAAAATAATATGACAATACTATTTATGTAATAATAAAAATATTTATATTTTTTTAATATTTCTCAATTTTCTATTTTTACCATTTATCTATAAAAATACAGAATTATTTTTTCATTATACATTTGAAGGAAACTGAATATTATTTTTAAAATTTTGTAATAAGATATAAATAAGATATATTTTGATTTAATACATATATTTACATAATTAAATTTCACATGTGCAACATCTCGTTAAATTATTGATTTAAATAATATCATATATCTGTCTAGAAAAAATTTACACATATTTTATAAGAAAATCCCCCAAAAATGGTAAATTTCTGAAATGTAAAATAATGGAATGTTACACATATTTCTATTTTTTCTATATAATCTATGATATAACATTACACACAGGTATACAGATATTAACAAATATCAAAGAAATCATCAATTTTTGCTTTTTTGTACACAGATTAATGTATATCTTCTGGATTAAACATTCCCTGTAAAGTAAAATTAAAATATCTAATTAATGGATCAATAATACTTAGTTATAAAACACTTTAATTTTAAAATATATATGATAAATAATTTATACAAACATAGTTTTTAACATTTATTATTTCATTTTCAATCAATTATTATTAATAGAAATTTTTATAATAAAATATCATTTAGATAATTAAATACAGTCTTATAAAATTTAAAAGAACCATATTTTCTTTAAATATGTATAATAATTAAAATATATTTTTTCATAATACATTATACAAATTATTCATTATATATAATGTATGAAAAATTAATAAAGAATGAATGAATATAAATGCTTACTTATAAATATGTATAATTATTATAATAACAAATAATGCAACCTTACCTTAGCACGCCTTAAGATAGAGTCCTTACTAGCATCATATGGATGATCTTTACTTGGAATTTCTAATACTGATGGTATAGGCTGTGTGTGACTATCAATTACATGACGTATCATTTCAGCAACCTCAAATACATAAATGAAAATATATTAAAATAATCATATTACTTAATGGTAATTTACTGAAAAATAAGACTTTAATAGAACATAATCATTAAATTATAACTTTTTATATTAGTTTTTATATTTTATACCCCAAAGATAAAGACATATTACTTTCATTTTTATTATAAAAATACAATTATTCTTTAAAGTTTTTTTATTATTATTTTAAGAACATTACTTACATTTTGGTTAATAAGTATAATATCAATATCATCTCGTTTAATGAAACGTTTAAATGTTTCTTCTATATCACTTACAGCTGTATCTATAAAGCAAAATCATATATATATCTTTAAAACTATATACACATAAATATGAAAATTTTGTAATTATTAGAATGAATTCATTCAATACACGTTTCAATGCAAAAACATTAAACCAAAAAAATATATCTAATAATGTTTTATCTGTAAAATATTTGTATTTTATTAAATACAATACATACTTTTATCTACAACCATAAAATTGGGTTGACGATGTTTATTAATCTCGCCAATTCCACCTAAAAGAAATCCCACACAAGTATCCTAAAATAAAATTTGTATAAATATACTATAAATATAAAATAAACGTTGATATACATTCAAATCACCTCATCTCCGATCACAGCAAGAAGTTTACCCTTTCCCGCAGAATGAAGAGCCATAATTATAGAGAAATAAGGAACAACAGAATAAATTTACGTGAACAATTATTAATTTAATATATCCCGACGATGTATCAGCTGACAAGTCACACCTATGTACTTAAGTTACTTGAATATCACGTGCCAAACTTGTCCAATCGAAACAGTACAGTAATGAGGAAACTGATTGACTTTAGAAACAGCGAATACTGAAATAGGCTGACATACAGTATGGTAGATATCTACCAACCTTTTATCCCTTTCTAACGTTATCGATCGGAAAAAGATGCAACGATGTAATATGCGATTGTAGATAGTACACACTAGAAGATAATTTCAAAACGTACAGACTGAATAAGACTTCGTTTTAGACATATCGAATTTTTTATTTATCAAATTAAATTTTTACTAAAATAGTTATTTTTAGTTATTTTTTGCACTAGTTGCAAGAATAAAAATATATACATTTATTACAATGAGTTAAAACTTATTAATAAAAACAATGTATGACAACTTTAAGACAGTTCTCTATGTGAGTAAACGTGTGTAACACGTAATGTCTAGGGTTATATTTCTTTATGTGTTAGAGCATAAGTGCTATGTGTATTTAATATTAATTATATATGTAAATTGGAAGACAAAAACTTGTGTTAAATTTTACAGTTTTATGCATTATTTTTCATAATGTTAATATGTAAAAATACAGAGACAAGTGATTATTAAAAATATCTCTTAAAATTCAATATAAGTTCTATGATTATCAATACTAATTATTTAGGTTATCATGTTATGGAATTTAAAAGTCATTAAAAAGATGTATATTTTCATTATTGATCACAACTATAAATATGAACATTCATAATATATACCGATTTGTGTTAAATATAAGTAGAAGTGTGTGGTCAATTATTATTTGCTGTTAATAAATCTAACTTGTAAGTTATGACTATCACACCAAGCATAACCCTAAGTAAATATCTATATTGATATTTTAGATGTGTTTTCTTATACATGAAATGACCTTAATAATATTTGATCATTAATTAACTATTATAAACAAATTTTGTAATATATTTATTTAATTTCACATTTCAGAAATCACATTTTATTAACATACACACTTATTAATAAAAGAATATAATTATCAGTGGTATAAAGAACAATACAAAAAATGTCATTTGTGAATGATGTTGATATTTACAAGAAAATGGTTTCTGGAAAGATTATACAAAAAACATGTACAATAGATGAAACTTCAACAGAATTTATGGTTTTACCCAAATGTGAGCACACAGAAGAAACATTGGTAATGAAATAATTAATATTTTAGTAAATATATATTTAGAAATTTTTGTTATATTTTTTATCTATATTATATGTTTTATATATTTTTAATATATTCTCTATTTTAATATTAATTAATGACATTTTATATAGGTAGTCGGTGAGGAAATAATTGTAGATGAAAATATGGTTATAAATCAGCAAATTTCAGAGGAAGTTATTTGTAAACAAAAAGATACTTCTGAATATTTTGAGGAAAGTATGAATACAACAATGTCTGTTGCATATGCAGAAGATTCTCTACCCATATGTACACAAAATACAATTAGGCAAAAATGGCTTTCAAATGATATCAATAAAGAAGATTTATTGGTAAATATTATTGAATATTTAAAATTTTATAGAAAAACATTACAACAAATCAAAATGATAAAAGTATTGGTTAATTCTTTCTTTACATTAGTATGTTACAATTTATGCTGTGTCAGATATAAGAAAAATTACAAAAATGAATATTACATATTTTATGTGTTGTAATGTAATAGTTATCTGAATCAGAAGAAAGTGAAACTGAAATGTACAATAAAGTAACAAATGATGATCAAGATGGAGATGAAGAAACAATAGCTACATTTGTAACTGCTGCTGGTCAACAGTTAGCATTATATGCAGTTGAAGATTCAGAAGAAATATTTGCTGTTGCAGTTTATGATGAATCTGGTGAACCTCCAACAAATTTTCAATTTTTGATGAAGTATGCATAGTTATTCATGTATTATGTATTAAATTCAGTTAATTATAGATATAATTCAATAAATATGTAAATAATGAAATGATCACATTTACAGAGCAGATGTTGAAAGATTAATAGGTGAAGGAGCTGTTAGAACAGTTAAGAAACCAACACAAATAAAACAACAATTATTGACTACTCAGTCACCAATATTTTTCCCTAAAAATGAATCAACAAATGATATATCAATGGATAATGAAAATAAGATAATTTCAAATGAAAATGAAAGGATACAGGGTAAAGGAAATATATTGGAAGAAAATTCAACTTTAGTAAAAGATACTGATGTAAATTTAAATACAAAACGAGTTCCTAACATTATATATGCAACAAATGAAAAGCAATCAGATGTAACATATTTAATGATGGATGATTGTTCTGTAAATATGCGTATGTATTTAAAAATTTTAAGTATTATATAACATCATATGCTAAGATAGTGAACTGTCAAATATTACAAATATATTTATATTTAATAGGTAATTCTAGAGAATGTCAGGAAGATAATAAAAGCGATGGTGAATTAATAGAACAGTCAACAGTACAATATATTTTATTTGAAGGTGATCAATCTGATTCTGAACTAACATTTGATGAAATTCACGAAACTCTCCAAAATTTAAAATTGAACGCAGCAAAGAAGCAAATAAATAAAAAGATTATAAGAGATCAAAACAGTTTTGGACATATTAAAGGAACAGAGTATGAAACTTCGATATACCAAACCTCTAATATATCTAATAGAATGTCTAATACTTTAACAAAGAGAAAATTAAATTTGTTAGATAGCCAACAAGAATTATTAGAAACATTAACAGACTCATCAGCGGATTTAATATCAAGTAGTACAAATTTAGATGTATCAAATGGTTCCATTGAATACACATCACCTGAATCATCACAAATACAGTACAAAACTAAACGTTCTCGAAAACAACAATTAATTTCTGTAAATCGTGAAGATTCAGAAATTATTATACAGCCAGCATCTCTTTTAACTGAAGAAGACAATAACGTTAGGAAAAGAGTAAGACGAAATAGAAGAGTCATAGGTCATTCCGGATACCGTCAAAGAAATAATGACTCGAAAAGAATGAAAAGAATGAAACGGAAAGAAGTTGAAATTATCGAAATTGATATTGACGAAGAAGAAAGTATTCTGCATTCGAAACGGGATGTTGTTGAAATAACTATAGATGATAGTAAAGATAAATATTCTAGCGATAAAGAAAATGAAATTATAATGGTTGGAGATTCTGATGACGAATCACAACAGTCGAATTCAAAAGCAATTTTATTACAGTGTCAACACTGTTCTAGAAATTTTCGACAACAAAGAGCTCTAGAAACACATTTGCGAGTTTGTTCAAAATCGCCGTCTAATATAATACGATTTAATGAACAAAACTTAAAACATGCAAATGGAACAACTGATGATACTGTTAAAAAACAATACGCTTGTAAAATATGTCAACAAAAATTTGATGTAGTGGTAGCATTAGCACGCCATGTACGTTCAGAACATTCTCAAAGGAAAAAACGTAGATTTAGTAAATTATCAGTTGAACGACCATCTATAGAAGTTAAAGAAAAGAAGGAGCATATTGAACCAAAAAAGCAGATGACTATAATTAAAAGGATTAAAAGAAAAAGTAGTCAACGAACAAATTGCACTTGGGAAGTAAAAAAATTAAGTTGTTCTGATTGTGGTAGATGGTTTCCCAGTGCTGCCTTATTAAGAGCACATTGTTTACAGCATGGAACAAAAAAATCTGGTAAGTTATTCTTAATAGTTGTTTAATTGATATAATTTATTATTAACATTTATGAAGTTGAAAGAATATTTTTTACAGAACAGCAAATACGTAGATGTCAAATATGTAAAAAATTAATTAGGTCTAGATTACTCTTTGTACGACACTTAAAGAAACATGGAAATTTACAAAAAAATACAAAGTCTATACCAAATATTCAAAAGAAGTTACATACAACCAGGTCAGTGACAAGTAAAATTACGACGCTCAGAAAACGGGGACGCTCACGAAAACTTTGATCCCTTCAGATATCAACACATGAAACTTCTAGAACTTGATGATATGTGACAAATATTGTTGCTATTTCTTCTAATGTGAAATATGTATAATATACTGTTCATACTTCCAATAAAAGTTGGAAATATTTATATGTTTGTTGAAGAAATATCTTTAAATTATGTTAGATACCTAATTAAATGTATATATCATTTACATGTATTATGTATATTATGTATAATTTAATTTTACATTGTCACATTTGGAACTTAATTATTGACTAAAAACTATTGATTGATATTTCCCATTTTTTGACCATGTAACTTTTCAAAAATCAAGTGCAAAAAATTAATTGAATTGAAACAAAATATGAAAACTTAAAATGTTATATTAATAAAATACTTAATATAAAGTTAAGTAAGTCAGTCTGTCTTTATTCTTACTTTTAAATGAGAATCAGTACTCTCTCATATACTAACATAATTAATTACTGTAAATAAAATGATAATATTAAAGATACGTATATATTTATTGATTAAAATATGCTCTTTTATATATACAAATTATTACAATTGTCAAATTGTTTATATTTTGAAAATAATATAAAATTATCTTTTGTGAGTAAATAACTTCTAATTTGGAATAAGTAACTATAAATTAACTTCTAAAATGCATATAAATTAAACTTAACATATTTTAAATTCTGAAAAGTTTACTATAAGTAATAAATTTATATTTATACAGTTTGTATTAATTTCAATTTCGGAAGAGAACCGTTTTCGAAAGTATATTTATATCCTCCTTTTTTATTCTAATCATGAGCAGAATATTCTAGTTTTGATTATTTATTTTGATTATTCTCTATATACTTATAATTATTTTAATTATCAAAATATATATTTCTAATGTTATAACAAAACGCAATATAACTGTGTAGTAACCTCAATTTCATATTTTTAACTTAATTTATTTGCGATATATATTGTGTACATTTGTTAAGATATGCAAATATATACTAACTTTTCTTTTTTTATTATGAATATTCCTTTTGTCTTTTGAATTGAAATTGGCACTGACCAACTTGTACTACTTACATACGTACTTACGTCGGACACTGCTTCCTTTGTTGTATCAACTGTTTACTTGCATCAGGACAATATGTTTTCAAGCAGTATCTTTTAATCTATAATATCAAAAAAAAAAAAAAAAAGAAAAAATAGAAAGAGCTAAAAGAATTTTGTTTTCTTATCAAATAGCAAAATGGATGTTGTCAAGAAAATAAAAACTGTGAAAGAGATTGAAAAGCCAAAAAGTAATATCAGTGAAACAAAAAGCAACAGTAATGAATCGAAATTAAATAGAAAGTGGAGTAATAAGGATAAAAGAATGTTGTTAAAAGCTCTACAAAAATACGGATCCGAAAATATTGAAGGTATATCAACAATGTTACCGAGTATATCTTTGGAAGATATTAAATCGAAAATTTCTGAATATTCTGAAACGGCAAAAGATTTATACGAAAATGAATTATTAGACGAATGGTTGAATTGTGGACTGTATAAACCAGGGGATAGCTTCATACCAGAAGCATTATTATTTATATATATATATATATATATATATATATATATGTATTGTTTTATTAATTTACAATATAGAATATTAACTAATATATAACAATCTATATATAATTCTACTAGTTTAAGTATGTTTATTAATAAATTGTACATTACTATTGTAGAGCAATATACAAATACCTTTATCGTTCATGCTTTGAACAACCATCATATTTTGATTTATCACCAAAAGATAGAGATTTATTATGCTTTTTATTATCAAAAGTTGAACAAAAAGTATGGCCACAATGTAAGACAGATATTTGGGAATATATTGGTAAAGTTTACAATAAAAGAAACATAAAAAGAGTATATCCTGGAAAGAAAGGATATTCTTCATAATAACATGGTTATAATGTTTTATACATTTATGTATAACCATAATGTTCAATAAACATTATCAATAAAAAGGTATTTAAGGTTTTAATACATTCTTTTATTGTGATAGGAAAGATTTTATTTGTTTATACCAAAAAATATATGAAATATAATATATTAAGAATTATTTCATGTAAATCATACAAGGTAATAGAAAAAAATTTAAGTTTAATCTAAAAAATTAATATTAATATATTTATTGAAATGTTATTTTGTACTATAAATTATTATAATAGTAATAATTCAAAAGGACATACAAAAATCATTGACATAATGTATATTATAGCACAAAATAATTGTTTAATATTGTTTGTAAAAAAATTCTGTGTAATATATTTTACTTTACTTAATCTATTGAATCTGTAATTTACTTTAGTATAAATAATATAATACACTAAATAACACACTATATTACTTGTAGAATAATACAAATGAATAATAAATGTGAATTAATTAAAATGATGTAGGCAACATGCAAATAATACTAATATTATTGTAATACTAATATTGTTATTGTGAAGTAAAGTTTAGAATACATTAGCTTGTAATGTGTGACGTTTATTTACGCTTTTTAAAACGTACAACATATACACATTCACGCATATATTAATCATAAATGATTATTTTTTTATAATGTATATCTATATGCATTTTTTACATTAAAACGATAAAATACAAAATAAAAATAATTGCATTTTAATAATTGCCGTTACAATACTTCATATGAGTTTAAAATTTCTAAGATAAACAAAATATTGAAAGGTTTTGAACTTTAATAAAAATTCCCTAATTAATAAATAATAATTAATTTTTTAATATTTCCCATGCATCATCTTCCAGTTTTGAATCCCACTTAGATACATGATTATCAGTACTAAAACTGATTAACGTTTCTTCTTTATCTTTTGATTTTTTTGAAATTGATTTCGAATCTATGAATTGATTACTTTGTTTTGCATCATTACCCCAATCCCATTCGCAATTGGAAGAATTAGCGGTTGATACATTGATTCTAAAACAATTTCAATAATTTATATTTAGATATTAAATAATTTATAAAGTTAAATCGGATATAAATACTTAATTTTGAAATGTAAATATTTTTTTCAATTTTATTAATAAGACTATCATCAACTTACTTAGATTGTGATGTTTTCATTAAAGATGTTTTTTCAGTGGAATAGTATTGAGCTGCATCAGTATTTTGGTAAGTAGTGGAAGAACTTTGATAGTGTTCTTTTGAATTATATTGATTCTGTTCAATTGAATTTGTCCCTCCAATATCACCCCACCTTCTTCTTCCTAAGTCTCCAACCTGTTTTAAAATAAATGGTTAGTAAGTTTAATATTTAATTAAATTGTGAATTTAGCAAATTGATTTAAAAGGATTTAATAATTTCAAACAGAACCAAAAAATTATTTATTACAATACCACATATTAAATCTACTTAATGTGCATTCTCAATAAAAGCATTTTTAGTGTACAACTATCTACCTTAGCAGCTATATTATTAGCTTGCGTTCCAACTTCGTCCCAAAAAGTACCATCGCGTACCTAACGAAAACATAATAAAACGGAAAAGAAAAACTTAACTGAAAAATAACATTGCACTAAACACAATTACTAAATACTAAATAAATAAGTACTATTAATTTTCTTTACCAATAAATAATAATTTAACAATATATTCCATAATTAATAAAAACTTACTGTCGTACTTATGATTTGCACATATATAAATATGTATACCTTCTGTATGGCTAATTCTCCAGTCTTAATGGCATTTTCTGTAGCTTTGCTTGCTATTTTTGATGCTGATGAAGAAAGTATTGACCAACCCTAGGAAATTAAATACTATCTATAGTTTTTATGTAGAGTAATTGTATATGTATAATTAAGTATAATTAATTACACTTACACTTGCTAAAGAGGATACTGCACTGTCAAAAAATTCTTGTGATGAACTTCTGGGTGGTGGATCCATTTGATAACCAAATCCTCCATATTTTCCACCTTGACTAGGTGGAATATTACTTTAAAAAAATATATAAATTTGTATATTAGCTTATATACTAATTATATTACTTAAGATATTTTACTATAAAGTTATTAAGACTGCATTTCTTATTATTTATGAATTTCATTAGATTGACATTTATATGACATTAATACAGAAATAAAAGCTTACTCTGGACGATTAGCATTTTCACTTTGTTTTCTTGCAAAAAAAGCTTCTGTTTGAGATTTACAACTATTTGAGTTAACATTTTGATAAGAATTTGATATATCACTTTGATATGAAGTATAATCTTGTTGATTTTCTGAATAAATTGAAGGTCGAAAATCCTTAGCTATAGATGTAGTTGGACTCCAATTTTCTCCATGGGCTAATGATGCAATCTAATTATTTATATAAAATAAAATTTTATATTTTGCAACCTTAAAGCTTTTTTGTTTTTTGGAAAAGTTATTAATTATAAAGCAATGAAAATTATTCCATAGATGTAAAATTATATATAATATCTTTAAATTTGTAATTATACTCATTACTTATTGACATATGTTTTAACTGCAATACAACTAAAAAAAATTTAATATATCATAATCAAAAAAATGAAATAGTGATGAAAAAATAAATTACTTAACATATTTACCTTATCTCTATACAATGCTGCTGCTTTAGTATTATACTTTTGTGTTATTGACATACTATCATTCCAGTCAGGCTGTGATTCGAAGAATTCACGAGCATTTTTATTTCCACCAATCCTCATTTTTTCTAACTCTAAGTCTTTCCATTTATCCATGGAAATGGATCGAACAAATGATAAATGAACACCAAGTCCTCTATGTTTGCCTGAACATTCAAGACAAATCCATATACCATATGTGACAGAAACCCATTGAGGATTGTGAATTCCACATTCAAAACACCTCTATAAAATAACATCAATTAACATATGGAATAATATAAAGAGAATAACATGAATGCATTACATTGTTTTCATCTTTTGGTTTAAGTTCACTTAAAATTCTTCGAGTTCGTGGACTTGCCATATTTTGTGTCGCTAAAACTTAAATCAAATCAAGTCTAATATCTAATTTTTAAACTAAAGGTTCACCATACTATACTTGTCGTCAGTCTCTTGATGGCAATTTATCCTAATTTTTTATAGATAATAAGCCAATGACAAAAACAATTCATATACCATTTACTTGATATATATTTTAAATTTTATCATATGAATAAAATAATAAATATGTCATTTATATCCAACCAAATCAAACATAATATCATAAATTTTAAGGAACTGATCATTTCATTGGGTATTTCGTTCTGTACGATATGAGAACCAGCAAATAGTATATGTTAAGTATGTTTCCAAAATATACCACTATAAAGCGCTAGAGACTAACCATATTCTTTCTTTTCATAAATAAATGTAAAATATGTTTTTATTAAATAAGAAAATCAGAAGACTTATATTTATATATACATTTTTGCATACATTGATTATATTTACTAAAAAATTATTCTTAATATATATTATTCATGTTCGGTCATATTTACTAAAATACATATAATGAACAATAAATTATAAACATTAAAGAATAACAAATAAATAATTATTTTTCATATTATTACAAAAATACATAAACAAAGTTATTTCTAAATTATAACAATTCAAATTATTGCTAGAAAAAAATAATTAAACCTATATCCATGAAATTGTGTAGTAAATATTCAATTGTTCATCTTTACCAATCAAATAATGTAGCATTTACTTCATGTAAACGACGCTTACTTGTCGAAAAAGCGCATGCGCAACCCCACCCACTGTTCATGACAAATGCAACTTTTACTTCCGGTTGACTTCAGCTTCTGCACAAGGTTTTTTGGGTTTAGCAGTATTCTTGCGTGGTGCTTCTGTTATCCTACGTCATCCGTGATTTTTCTCAGCTGCATTTGCACTTTGCAGTTCTATATCTCCCAAGGATATATTTTGTTTGTCGTATGTCCATCCAGAATCTCAACACATTCGGTAAATATTATATTTTCTATTTTATAGCGCTGATCATATTGTAGAAGATAGTTCTATCAAAATGGCGATGGCGTCTTTGCTTGCATCATAGTACGCAATTAACGTTTAACATTGTTTCCTCATTCCCCTTTCAAAGATTATTTCTTTTAAAAAGAGGTTTATACTTAAATGTAAAATTGAGTAACTTTTAATATAGTATGAATTATTTGGTTTTTCAGACCCCTTTGCAGATGCAATCAAGGGTTCAGATGATGATGTCCAAGACGGTCTCGTGCATATAAGGATCCAGCAACGGAATGGTCGTAAGACCTTAACAACAGTACAAGGACTTTCATCTGAATATGACTTGAAGAAAATAGTGAGAGCATGTAAAAAGGTAATAATATTATATTTAGTTTACGATTTTCAACAATTGAAACTTGACATCAGTGTCAGATACTATGCTAAAAATAGAACTGATGCAAACAACTGTTCAGAACAAAAGTATAATTATACATCTTTCAGAATATATTTATAATATATGTAAATTTTTCTAAAAATTACTTATTTCATTGTATCTTTTTCTAAATATTTAATATAAAATAAAATAGTGACATAATTAACATATAATACACGTTATAAACATAATTTTTTATTTTTTATTGATACAATTAAATTTAAATTCGTAAAATTAAAAAGTATTTATTCTTTGAAAGTAAGTTTACATTTCTTTGTTTTTATAAAATTAAAGGCTTTTATTTGCGAAAATCTTTAGATAGTATTTAATTACATTTTGTTCCAAATCTGTACTTATATGTATGTACAACAGACTGTATTAAACAAATAGATTAAAGTTTGTAGTCTAAAATATATTTTCATAACATAAAATGTGAATTTATCTATCTGAAGAGTAACAATTAAATAAGAATATTTAATTCCAGTGTTTAATGGTTATATTTTTTATATTTAGATATTTCTTATTATATTGTTTATATGTAAGTATTTAGAAAAAAGTTGAAAAGAAAAGATAGAACAAAATAAAATTCTTTTTAGGAGTTCGCCTGCAATGGGACAGTAATCGAACACCCGGAGTACGGAGAGGTGTTGCAGCTGCAGGGGGACCAAAGAGAGAATATATGCCAGTGGCTAACAAAGTCAGGTCTGGCCAAACCTGACCAACTCAAAGTCCATGGTTTTTAGCTATAAACACCCATGCCACTATCTAAGAACACTCCACCTTCATCAACACCTTATCATCTTAAATTATCTGTATCAGTTACTAATACTTGTTGATACATCGTGAGATATCCTATTATATACACATATATATTTCAATAAAAAATATATAACAGTAACGATATAGGCACAATATTCTAATCAGACATTTGTAAGATTGTAGGAAGCAATATTTTACAGCCTTATGTTAGGTAATCCACTAAACTCATCACGTTTTAAAATAGTAGCGATAATTAATTAGTGATTTGAGAAAATACTTATACAAGGAATAGATACAAATAGTAACGGATGGCTCTTCTTTTCGGGATTAGGTAGTATGTATCTCGGCGCTATAGACGTGTTCAGAGAAAAAAGGAGAGTAAAGAGAGAGAGAGAGAGAGAGTGAGAGAGAAATATCAAAAAAAAAAAAAGAATTTAGGCTCCAGATTGGTTTATTGTGTGTAATGCTGAATGCTTTGTTTTGTTTATATAGTAAGGTAACAGGCCTGGTTTTTATATTGTCACCTGCAAGTTTTGTGCCTTTAATTCCATATTGATTGTATTATTTATTGAAAGGATCATCTTTTATTGTAATGGATTTATTTTGAGGGAGAATTGCCAATTTTGTTCTTCTTTTGTAACAGTATTGACAACATGAAATCAATTGTTTTCGATAAAAATGTGGCTGTTCTAAATAAATGGTAATTCACCACTAATTTGTATTTTTATTTTTTCCTTTCCATTTAACTTTAATAACAGAATGAATTTTTAAGTATGAATAGCACATTAAAAGATATATCAATTAAGAAAGCATCTAAAAGTTAAAAATTTGAATTGTTAAACCATAATGCTTGAAGAAAAATTGTTTCATTAAATTTTTAGTAACAGTTTATGTAGATATGATGATAATTTGTTAATTTATTTTCTTTAGTTAACTATAATTCTAATTATATTTAATTAATATTGTTGTTGTAATAAAATGTAATAAATTTTTGTATTAATTTTCACAAAAATATATAAAATACATTATATGATATCTAAATTTGAGAGTTTAATTAATATTAATCTTTATTTATTTTTGAATAAAAAATGGCTTTCTAAGCCATGTTAATCATATAAACTGTAGAATTTATATTTATAAGTTGTATTTAAATGTATATATTTTACGTGAATGTTTATTTATATATAAGGATTTTCTTTTAATTATGTGGGTACATCAATGAATATGATAGTTTTATATTAAGTTTAGGTTACGTTTAATATTTGCATATTTAGTTAGTCATTGATTATATGGAAAATAAAATTATTGGAATTATTTAATAAAAATACAGCTCCTATATAAATCTATATATACAACAGCATATCAATATAAGATAATATAAAATTTTAGTTAAGTGTATAGAGTAATCCTTAAATATTTCTAAACTTTTAAATTTACCGGGCACGAGTAATGGCAATCTAACCACCAGATATCACTATAGTCGAGCTACATACTTACGGCCCATAATGCACTGAGCTACGGCATGTGCCTTTCTGTGTCGGCCATTTTGTAGTTTCCTTGAGAAATTGTGTTGAGTTGATTCATCTTCTCGGTAAGAATTTCATAAAATTCTAAAACGGCGCGACTCACATTGATCCAAATGATGTAGAGGATTGAGGGCAGATGCTTATGGCTAACTATTCATAGCTTGAGAACGAGGAATAAGGTTGCGTTTTTTGCGCACAACCGTGTGCGCTCACGGTACTTACACCCGAAGAACGAGCCAGTAAACGAAGCTGCCGAGAACACCTATTGATAAAGGCACATGGAATCCGGGATTGTTTCGGGATGAATGGTGATTTCGGTAACGATATACGATACGCATAAGTGTACTGTCCAAGTGGTTGTCACCATATCTGCGTGCGTGAACGTGTTGGCCCGGCCAACGTCTCGCTCTATATTTGGCTAATCGCATCCAACATATTGCATATCTTGCCTTTTCAAAATTTTTACTTTTCATGCCGTAACCTTTCCCAAAGAACTATATCAGAAGGATACAATGTGACGTTTAAGTGTGAATGCTTGACGATTGCACATTGATACTGAACAAGAGCAAATCTTAGCATGTGGCACGGTTTGTACGATCAACATTCAATTTTAACTTTCAACAAAGTCAGTGAAACATTTCATTTTGTACTATGATATAAAAGTTCTTCTACGTCGTTCATTAGCTTATATGTAAGATTGAGAAATCATTATTCGACAACAGTTGTTTTATGTGATTATCAAAAATACAAAATCTCTATTTTTACATTTATTATTTCGTTATGCTTCGTTAAAACTTCATGTAAATAAATTTGTATAATTTGAATTTACGTACATATATGCATTTAAGCATGCACATACACGCCCGCGCGCGCTCGCGCACATACACTCAGCATATATACATCATGCACACGTACTATGTGCTATTGAACACAAGCACGCGCGCGCGCGCATCATACGTGCGACACACATGCACATGTACAACCGTGTTCCTATATAAACGAATTTATGTATGTGTGTGCAAGTATATATAGGCACTACAAATGTATTACATCAGACTAGTATGATATGCATATTACATATTTTTAATCATTTTTGGAAATTGTTTACTAGTTAAAATTTAGTGTTATATTTTGTTATTGTGTGATTTATATAAAAACTATTGAAAATTACATTTGAAAATTATGTGTTTGAGGAAGCATAATTTATAGTAATATTTTTAATATGATTGCAAAATAAATTAATATAGGCATAGTTAATAATATATACAAATACTGTATCAATTAATTTTTTTTAATCTAAAAGAGCAAGAGGTCACTTTTCAAGGTTATTGATTTGTTTGATTATTTATAAAAGATGAATCTAGTATTAATTGAACTATAAAAATATAAATATAAAAGCATACTTTTTTCATTTTATTATACATATATTACAAACATTTAGGGTCTGATATGCTTCTGTTATTACATTATTAATAATATATTTAATTATGGTTGTTGATCGACACAAATCTATCTTCAATTTATTAAATTAAAACATTACTCAAATTAAATATTTTCTAAGTAAAATTAAGATCATTAATTAATCAAATTATATATTACATGTTTTAACATGTAAGTATATTATGTATTGGGTGTTAACTGTTTTTATAATATATAATGAATGTTATGTATTTTTATTACTGATTATATTTTGTATTTTTCATAGGGTACGTGTACATGAATGGGGACATTGGGAAGCTCCCACCAGGGGCGGTCTATCCAGCCACCCCTGAACCTTTGGGTTCTGTTGGGGGTGCAATTGGAAGTACTGCATCCAATTTGGAATATAACATCATGAACGGAGTTCCAAGTGGAAATGAATTGATATTGGAGGCAGGTGTTGGTAATTTGGAACCTTCACTGCAACATGCTAGAGGTATAGGGGGTGCTGCAGGTTACGGTCCAGTGGATGTTGCTCCCATAGGTGATGTGCCAAATCAACCTGCTCTAATGGGTGACTTGTCTGCCACTGGTATACCTTTGGAACAACTTAAACAGATGCTCTCTTCACAACTTGAATACTATTTCTCCAGGTAATACCTTCATTTGATCTTAACTTTACAAAAATTTCTATTGTCTATTGTTAACTGAAGTTTGTATTTTAGAATATTATTAATCATAAAATATTAAGTATTAATTAATTATTAATATTTACTTCAAATATTATTGTAATTATAAAATTTTTTAATTTGTTAGAATATTTTATAGTTGATACAAAGTAAAGTCATAGTATTTATTTACATAATCCTTAGTATATATAATTCCTCTTTTATCATATTTACTTTATGTATATCTGAAATTACATATTTATTTGAAAAATGAATTATCATTTAATTTTTAGATAATATCAAAGGAATAACATGAAAATGTAAAAATGACTAATATGTACTATTTGATATACAATTATTTATTTTACTTATTTACTGAATAATATTATGTATTATGTAGAATTATTTACTGGATTTCATTTATAATAAATTTATATTTTATCATATTGTATTCTCACTATCTTTTTTCTGTTTTTAGAGAAAACTTAGCTAATGATACATATTTATTATCACAAATGGATAATGATCAATATGTACCAATATGGACAGTAGCAAATTTTAATCAAGTGAAAAAATTAACGAAGGATATAAAACTCATAACAGAGGTTCTAAGAGAATCTCCAAATGTACAGGTTGATGAAGAAGGGCAGAAAGTAAGACCTAATCACAAACGATGCATTGTAATTCTTCGTGAAATACCAGATAGTACACCATTGGAAGATGTGAAGGTGAAAAAGAAACATACATACTCACATATATTCACATTATTTCTTTTATATATATGCATGTTATTTTCCCTATTGTATATTCATATAATTAGTAATATAAATTAAATAAAAAAATTAAATACGTTTAGATAGACTTATATAATAGCAATATAATACTTTTATACACAATAGTAATTTATTGTACTATTCATAATGTAATCTTTTGTGTTTTTTTCTGTTGTTCAGTTTTTCATAACACTGAATGTGAATAAAATAAGATTTTTAATTACAGAATTTATTCTCTGGGGAAGGGTGTCCAAGATTTATTTCATGTGAATTTGCCCATAATAGTTCTTGGTATGTAACTTTTGAATCTGACGAGGATGCTCAAAAGGCCTACAGGTTTTTACGTGAGGAAGTTCGGGAGTTTCAGGTAATATTCAATAAAAAATGATTTTTTATTTCCTAGTTTAATAAACATTATGAAGAATGTCAAATTATGCAATAATGTATTTATCCATTACTTATGCCTATATATTTTTATTTTACTTTTCTAAAAAGTGTTTAGTATAGCTAAAATATATATATATTTATTACTAATTAGTATATAATATAAACTAAATTTAAAGAATTAAACTTAAAATTCTTATACTATAAAAATAAAAATTTTGTAAAACAAGTAATTTCGTTTTAGAATAATTAATAATTCTAACTATTATTTATTTTTTATTAATTGCTTATATGATTAGAATAATTTTTTTAATCAATATAATTTATTTGTGTAACAAATAAAATACATTACAAATATAATTAGTAAATTATAATCAGTGTTTTTATTCCGTTATTTAATATTGATACTTCTGTTTAATTTAGGGAAAGCCAATAATGGCTAGAATCAAAGCTAAACCAATGAATAGGCTACCAATCCCAGCAGTTGCTAGTGTGGGTGGTATTAAAAATGGTTATAGAACACCACCACCACCACCTGTTTATGATCCAAATAGTTATACAACTGGTCAGCAACGTTTTCTTTATCCAAATGGTACTACTATGCCACAAACTACTATGCCGCCATATGCCAATCAGGTTCATTTATATGTAAGTAGACAAGATTTCATAAGAAATTCTAGTATATTTTTATTGAATATACCAATATTTCCTTTTATAGAGTTTATTGAATTTTTTGAACTATTAATATTTATGTAATAAATAATAAAAATGTTTATATGTTTTAATATGTCGTATTATATTAGAATATTTTAGCTATATAAGATTTAAGCTATTTTATATACTTTTTATAGCATCAACCATTTTATCCTCCTGGAATGATGCCTTGGGGACCTGCAAGTCCTGCATATTTCGACATGTCAGGTGTTTTTATGAATGGTATTACACCACATAATACGTTTAAATCGCATAACACAAGATTTCCTCGTCACAGGTATTGACATTAATAATTATTTTTAACAATATAGAAATATATATTAATTTTTTATTAAGAAAATTACATGTATTTTTTCATGTTATGATAGTATTTCATACAAAAACTACATTTCAAAATAATGTAAGCAGTAGTTTGGTTATATAATGACTTAAATATATACATAAGTGTAAATATATACATATATATATTTGTATATATATACATATGATACAGAAATAAACAAAGAAATGGATCTGAAAGACCAGGCTTGATGGGTGGCGGAGGTAATATGGTGCCAATGGGACGCACTTCACATCCGCCTATAAGTGGAGCACCAATATCTTTAGGAGCAACAGTTCCGACTTTTACTTCGAGCTTGCCTACGGTGAAGCCAACTTCTTCTTCCTACCAGACCGGCACAAAGTTCCACTCCTCACATACAACTGTAGCAACTGGAGAGGTTCCCTATAATAGCAGCCATTCGAAAGGATCCCAAGAAAATGACGCTCAAACTCTGGACTCTGGAGTACAATTTCCGCGTCATCGTATGCATCGTAGGACCAAAGACCAAGAATCATTATCAAAGGCTAATAGTAGCCCCTTACCGTCAATCAGAGAATCTGCCCCGGCCAGTAATAATAACACACAATGTAACCGAGGGGTACAATTCGATTTGGAAGCTTCTGCTTTCCCTCCTCTTCCTGGCCTAGATGCTGATCTTGCAAAATCCCATAATGCTTCAGTAGAAACTGTTGGTACAGATTGTACGCAGTCGCAGAATAGGCTTTCAGATGTAGTTAAAGGTACTGCAAAATTGAAAAGTATCAAAGAAAAAGAACCTACAGGAACTTCACAACAATATCATCAACAACCGACAAGTAATAGCAGTAGGTCTGCAAGTCCAGGGTCAAGTGCTGGTGGTCATGCTGGTTCGCTAGAAGCTCCAACTGGTTCTGGAAGTACATCAACTACTCCTGTTGCATCTACAAATGTCAGCTCTAATGCTTCTGCTAGCAACAATGACTCCACAGACATCGCTTTCAGCACCATCACTCTCACTCCCCCGTCATCTCCTGATAAGTGAGTGTGCTTTCTTCTTATACATACATACATACGTACAACGTACAGATATAAACACACACATACATACGTAATTATATACGTACACAAATACATTTAACCTGCATACATACATACGTTTATGTAGTTACATATGTATTATACACATATCAAATACATATACGTATATATGTTTGTATATGTACATACAGGATTTGTGTATGTGCAAGTGTGTAATAGGACATATATTCTATTTTTATTGTAAAAGCAAATAGTTGTTTAATTACATTTCTAAAGTATTGCTTATTATAAATTATTGTTGAAGTTCTTAAATTGCTTTTAATGATACATTGCATATATTATGTATATATGTATAAATATACACACAGATATATACATACATATAAACACGCGCGCACATACACACATATACATCAGAATGACTTATATTATACAGGCAGTCATATAGAGCCTGAAAAGATTGCTAAGCTGTGTTTGATAGTGTTGGCTGCATTATATGCGTGCTATGCTCTGTATGGTGGATGTGTATTAGTGAAAGTTATATAGTCCACCTATATTTTCATATCACCTATATAAGAAGGAAAGGGAAAGTAGCTATTCATGGTAGCTTGTTAGTTTCAGTATATATTATGTTCTGTTAGTATGATATTGTAATAACGTTAAAATTCATGCTTATTTACTAATTCATAAATAGAACGGATACAAGTAGTAAATTAATTACTGTGACAAAATAAGTAAGAATAATGAATACTGAAATATATGTTTTATTTTTGGAAAATGATAATTTTATATTATGTTAATAACAAGTAGTCCATGTATTATTTTTTAATTTGTCAATAATTAATAAAAGATATGAAACATATTTCATAATTACGCTATTTTATTTTTATTGATGTTTTATAAAACTTTTTAACACAATTACAAAAACATTTATGAACAATTCTTTTAATTTGAAAAAATAATAAATTTGTCTTAAACATTATTAATATATATCTACTATATGTAAAAATATTGCAATTGTGTAAAAAATTTGTTTACTTTTTTATAATTGTCAAACTTTCCCTTTCTTAATTATGTTATACTCATACATAGAGCGGTAAGAAATAGGTCTATCTTTTCTGAATTTACTGTTATTTTACTCTCTATGGTGGTTAATTTTGTAAACGTGCTCAGTTGTTCCAATTTGCCATTTATTTCTATTCATTGCTACATCTCTTTTCCCATCGAGTGATAAGTTGTTTAATATTGTTTGGAATGCCTCACTAGTATGGTTCTTTCACTGAAGAACAAATTTTTCAAATAAGAGCTGGTGCTCCATTCAATGAAAAAGCAAACTTTAATTTTAAAGTGTAAAATGCTCAAAATCGAGGTATCCATTTGATACTAGGTAGTCGGAAGTTTTACCATTCTTTTATGGTGATTAAATACGATAAAATGTTGCAATGCGTATGTATGCAAGAATGTATGCAGTACTATGTGGTAGCACAATTTATATTTCTTGCCTGTATTACTGCGGCAAATGAACAATACATATGAACTATTATATTATTCAGGGTTCTTTAATACATGAGTTTGTTATTTTATTATTATTATTAATTATTATTATTGTTATTATCACCATCACCATCACCATCGCGATCACCATCACGATCACCATCACGATCACCATCACGATCACCATCACGATCACCATCACCATCACCATCACCATCACCATCACCATCACCATCACCATCACTATCACTATCACCGTCACCATCACCATCACGATCACCACCATCACCATCACCATCACCATCACCATCACCATCACTATCACCGTCACCGTCACCGTCACCGTCACCGTCACCGTCACCGTCACCGTCACCGTCACCGTCACCTTCACCCTCACCATCACCATCACCATCACCATCACCATCACCATCACCATCACCATCACCATCACCATCACTACCACTACCACTACCATTACCACCATCACCATTACCATCACCATCATCATCATCATCACCATCACCATTACCTTCTTTATCATCACCACATCATCATCATCATCATCATCATCAACAACAACAACAACAATGACAACAACAATGTCAATGTCAGCAGTAGAATCATTGTTATTGTCATCGTCATTACCATTATCATTGTCATTGTTATTATTATTTTTGTTGTTATTATTATTATTGCTTTGTTATGATTATTATTATTACATATCATTATTGTTGTTATTGTTATTATTATTCTTTTTATTATTTTTCTAAATTATTCTTTTTATTATTACTATTATTACTATTAGTATTGTTATTATTATTATCATTAATGTTATTCTTATCATTATCGTCATCATCACCATCATCATCACCGCCATCGCCACCATCACCACCACCACCATCACTATCGTCGTCATCATCATCATCATCATCATCATCATCATCATCATCATCATCATCATCATCATCGCCACCATCACCACCATCACCATTACTATTATTATTATTATTATCGTTATTATTATTATAATTATTATCGTTATTATTATTATAATTATTATTATTATTATTATTATTATTATTATTATTATTATTATCGTTATTATTATTTACGAAGACAGGTGGAAGATATTCATAACATACCTAGCAGGATTCACATTGCCAGGTTATGTAAAATTAAGGTGTGTGACACTCGAATTAAAAAAAAAGGCCACCTCCCTTTACCACGGTGGATTCAAACTGGAACTTTTGTACCACTTTAGAGTGGGACATATTGTATTATGTTCTAATGGTTTTCTTTTATCCTTTTTGTTTTTATTTAACGTTCGCGATCTTTAAAGTATCTTTCATCTATACATCACAGCCTGGTTTACACATAAGAAGAAACTTCACCTAACTCTTACCTACGCATAATTCTATCGATGTAGTCTGCAATTACTTATCTAATTTTGAAAACGAGCATTGTTCTCTTGTCATTGAATCGCTCACAATCAAAAAGCAAGTGGCTCGCGTTATCACATTTCGTACCACAAAACCAGTATACTGGAGACATTACTTTCCTCATTCTCTCAGAAGTATTTCGTTAGGAACTGACTCATGTAGAAATTGTTATCCATAAAGGATCTTTATGAGCCTTATGATCCTTTGGCCTTCGTTCAAATTCCACTGTCAAAACTCTATTGCGGACTGGTCAATCGGGTTAACTTCAGTAACTACTGTTATCGTAAGTTTCGGCATTGAATGATAGGGGCACATAATTTCCTGTGCTATCCCTTGCCACTGGACAGATGTTATGGATGACCTATATTAACTTTCATTGCATATTTCTGCTTCATAGAGTACAATAGATTAGGCTCTTGATGTCATTAGCCTGTTGTACGGTTCTAGACATTGGGTATTGGTATGATAGTAGAAATTCTTTCTTCTATATGAATATAATAATTTCGATTTTTTAAATCGCAAATTAGAGTTCGTGATATTTTATCCATTTCCGCATCATAATCCTTCTCATGATTTGATTTAGTTTTTGTTGTGTCTGTTCGTCATTGTGGGCAGTGAATATAATTATGCGTCCGCGAGATGCAGGCACAACGTATATACATCCTCACGGCTGACAAACTCCGTTGACACTTCTATGATTACAAGAAGTGACTGCTATTGACCGAAAACGGTGCTAAAGATCATCGGCGGGCCGTAACGAGACCGAGTGAATCTTTCAAGAATAATGTTAGCTTTCTGTTTCTTAATAGCTAACATTTAGATTGAAAGTCTACGCCGATGCTGCCATTATCCTATATCGCTCAGTCTCGCTACAACCCGCCGATGATCTTTGTCATTGTCTTTGGCTAATAATGACCACTGTCTGTGATCATGAGAGTTTCAGTGGAGTTAATCAGCCGTGAGGATGTAAATACACTGTTGCCTTCTTTTTGTGTGCGCATAGTAGCTTATAAGAAACCCTGCTGTCGGCATCTTTGTATGGTGTAGTGATACAAAATTTTCCAAAGAATGGATCCCAATATCGATCCTAACGTAACTTTAATAATAACTTCTTTTCCCTTTGGTTTGTCTTCTGTCTTATATACCAACTAACAATTTTTCACATAATCTTTTATCATCATTAAGAGATATCTTGATACATTAAAGTGTCGCTCCACTTCGACAAATTAAATATGTTCTTTCTGTTGAAAATCACTAACAAGGTTAATGATTGAACTTGATACGTCTTCTTCGCTCTTCTTACAACTTTGATAGCTCTTGCAATTGCATTGATCGAGTGTATCAAACTTTTGAATTACTACCTTGTAGTTCTTTCTCATTACATAATATTTGTCAATTGCAGACCTTGCTCTATCGGATGGTCCTGTCATGTTTTGCGACCTTATACTCTGCGGATATTACAGCAGTCTCTGATTTATTCCTGTCATTTTCGTGATCAGGTTCTTTTTTAGTACTCTAACGTAGTATTTCTAACCTGTGATGAGGCAATAGCCAGGCTACTTATTTCGCTCGTTTATTTTACTTCTTTTTGCATTTTTTTTTTGTTCTTTGAGCTGAATGTAGTGACTTTTAAGCGCCTTCGACCTGTGTTTAGCAAACGAGTAACCTACAGTTTATTTCCTATGTCCATATTGATATTTCTTTGTTTACAAGTGGCTTGTCGTATGGACCAGGATCATGAATTTCAGTTGTTCATGCTTATATCAGACTCTTCGGTTTGTCTTTCCGATTTTTGAAATTCGTCTTTACCCAGAGTCACTTCTGCTAGAGTTACATGTTATCCCTCGGTTTAAGGGAGCCATCCGCTTGCTTCTTTTTTTATTTGAACGTACCATTGGAATTCGTTGAAAATTTTCCTCTAAATTACACACACCAGTGTGTTTATCTTCGAATAGTTTATCATCGGAGTTTCTTCCGTTAGTTTCTACATGTGTTGAAGAGACATCACACAAATGTTCTGGTCACCGCATTGTCCTTCGTACGTAACGAGTTTCCACCATACGTCACGGGAAGGACATATTGCTACGCAAAATTGACAATCTTATGCGAATTATCATTATCATCATCTTCATCATCACCATTACTACTATTATTGTTATTATAATAATTATTATTTATTATTATTATTTATTATCATTTATTGTCATCATCATTATCATTATCATCATCATGACCATCATCGTTATCATTTTCATTTCATGATTACCACCGTCATCTTCATCTTTATCATTATCATTATCATTATCATTATTATCACCGTCACAATAAATAATAATAGCGACAAACAAATTTTTTTCATATGTGGGAAACTGTGGTAATCTTTCAGAGATACTTGAGGGTGTCAGCACTCACTAAGCGTCAGGAATTTATATCCACTAAAACTACAAATTCAAAAAACTGACATATATCACTCTGCCGACCGCTTTCGTTTTTCTTCGGGCTAGTATGTCGCGTTTTGCGCTCATTAAGGCGTCTTTTATTTCACGATCCTGTTTCCGCCCTGTGTCTCAGTCTCTATGACGAGAAATGTTGGAGAGTAGACTGCATCATCGCGTGTATCGAAGAGCTATCCCTCTATCTCCACGAAAATTGCTGCGATGTTCCACTCATCCTCGTTTTTGACCATATTCGACTGAGTTCTCCAGTTTGATCCTTTTGAGTGACCAGCGATCGCACACGAAGAACACGTAGTTCACGCCATCCTGGCCAATGTCGCACGTGCAAGGTTAATGCATTAACTTCCTTATCTTATGGGGGTACGAGCAAAAGAAGTCATGTCTAGAGAAGAATTGGATTAGATAGAAGTTGACCTCACCGAATTGACATTCGACCTAAGCTGCTAGCTAGCTTATGAGTCTCGCTATCCATCGCATCCTCTGGTTGCACTCCCAGTGCTCCTGTTAATGCTCCAGCCAACACTTCATTGTGCGGTACTTGGTCTTCTTCTTTGTTTCCACGGCATCAACCGACTTTAGCCCGTATATCCATTTGCATTCTTGGACAAGCAGATCGATTGGCAGAACTTCGACGATCACCAGTATTGTGAGTTTGAACACCGTACAGTAGAATTACGTGATTCTAAACGTTCTTCTCCACTGCACTGTGGCCATGCACTTCTTGTACCAATATTTTCAGGATGGATTGCGTGATCGACATGCGTAATTTCCTCGTACTTGGTATGGGCAAGGTTATGGACACTGTTGCCGCCTTGTCTGTTATATTCTTTACTCGCTAGAGAGTCAGTTTCCTATCCATCATTATTTCAAGATGCCTGACCACACCGCACGTTTAAATGGTCTTTTTGTCTGTCAGCATAGGCATAAGTGTCACCTTTTTTATGACGAGTAGATCTATCTTTGTCCTTAATCGCAGACACCTACAAGTCATAATTGTTCATTCAACGGCTGACTTGTTTTAAAACGTGAATCGACTTCGTCGACATCAATTCCACACTAAGTGCAACTATTATTAGTGCACAGTTGTCAGCGTATTTTATCATGAAAGTGTCCTTTCACATCACTATATGGAGGAAGTTGTGATACATGATATTCCAGAGGTCCGGGCCCAGGATCAAATTTTGCGCAACGCTAGAAATGGTTCTTTGGCTGTGGATTCTCTCTGTCGTATCCAATAGTACAACTCTGTCTCTCAATTTCTTTATCACCCGAAGGAAGTATTACAATACCCTGAATACTGCTTTAAAGCGGGCAACGTGTCACTCCATCTAGCCAAGTTGTATGCGTTTCTGACGTTGAACGTCTCTAATAAAACTACACGCCGCGAGTGACGGTTTCTACGATGCTTCTCTTATATGATTCTGACGACTTCCATTATCACATCAACTGCGGATGGTCTCCTCTTGAAACCATATTGCTGATCTGACAAGATCCCTGGTTGCCTGGATGATGGACGTCTGGCGTGCTTTCAGTAATTTCTTGTACAGTTTCCCTGCTGTGAATAATAATAATGATAATAATAAGAATAGAATACTTATTATTATTATTATAACGATGATAAAGAAATAATAACAACAACAACAATAATAATAGTAATAATTGTAATGATTATAATAATAATATAATAATAATAATAATTGTAATGATTATAATAATGTAATAATAATAATAGTAATAACAACAACAATAATAATGATCGTCATCATCGTTATTATCATTTTTATTGCCATTGTCGTGTATATCATTACCATTATTTGTACCGTTATATGATTATCAGTATCATTTTTTCAGTGAACATCTGCATTCTTCCTATTGACATTTATTGTTGTTATTACCACTACTAACACACCTTATGTTGCTATTATCGTCTTTTACTTTATGACTATTGTTAAAGTATAACTATTCGTATTAATATTTTTACAAAAGTCTTTCTCGTTAATATTACTGTTACCACTTCTGGTTGTTATGTACCCCATATTCTTTTTATAATCTTGGATCATTATTATGATTTTTATTCCATTATTGTAATTACTATGATACATATTGGTACTGCTATATAATTTGTATTTTCAATGACACTACTTTCCACATCACTATTACCCTTATTGCTGTTATCATTGTATTGTTATTGTTATCAATGTTGGTACCAATTTTTTATTTATTATTATTATTATCGTCAAAGTCATCATTTTTATAGTATTTATCACCATTATGGTAATAAAATTATTATTATCTTCATCATAATAAACTTTATCATTATTATTCATTACTAATACTATTATTATTATTATTACAACTATAAGTATAGTTACTTCTGCTGCTGCTATCGTTATTACAAATACTATTATTATTAGCACCTATTACTATTATTATTACTAACTGCTGCTACTACTTCTGCAAATACTATTACCACTACTGTTTCTACTACTATTGTTACTAATGTTATTACTACTGTTGCAGTTATTAATGCTACTATCAATATTATCACTAATGCTATTACTACTATCGCCACTATTAATATTAATATTATTATTGCTACCACTGCTACTAATACTGTACTATAGTATATAATATTGCTATAGATTATATTACTATTATTACTTTATTGCTTCTACTATTGCTACTGTTATTGTTATTGCTAATGACTACTGTTGGCACGAATCCCATTACTGACGTTACTGCTATTATCATTATCATTACCCCCGCTCCTCCTCCTCATGCTGCTCTTCCTCCTCATTCTCCTCCTCCCCTCCTCCTCCTCCTCCTCCTCCTCCTCCT